GGTTATTTAAGTATTTTACTTTCTCTTTGGTTAATCTGGGCACTTTATATTTTTGTAAATATGTATCCATTTCACTAAGATTGTCAAATTTGTTGGCATATAGTTGGGCAAAATAATTCCTAATTGTTTTAATTTCCTCTTCCTTGGTGGTAGCTTCACCCTTTTCATTCTTGATACTAGTAATTTGGTTTGATACTAGTAATTCTTTCTTTTTTTAATTAAATTAACCAAAGGTTTCTATTTTATTGGTTTTTTCATAAAACCAGCTCTTAGTTTTATTTATTAGTTCAATAGTTTTCTTAATTTCAATTTTAATTTTTCCTTTGGTTTTCAATATTTCTAATTTGGTGTTTAGTTGAGGATTTTTAATTTGTTCTTTTTCTAGTTTTTTAGTTGTATGCCCAATTCATTAATCTCCTCTTTTTCTATTTTTTTATGTAAGCATTTAGAGATATAAAACTTCCCCTAAGAACTGCTTTCACTGCATCCCATAGTTTTGGTATGTTGTCTCATTATTGTCATTCTCTTGAATGAAATTATTGATTGTTTCTATGATTTGTTGTTTGACCCAATCATTTTTTAGGATTAGATTATTTAGTTTCCAATTATTTTTTAGTCTATCTTTCCATGGCCCTTTATTACATATAATTTTTATTGCATCATGATCTGAAAAGGATGCATTTAATATTTCTGCCTTTCTGCATTGGATTGTGAGGTTTTTATGCCCTAGTACATGGTCAATTTTTGTGTATGTGCCATGTACTGCGAGAAAAAAGTATATTCCTTTCTATCCCCATTCAGTTTTCTCCAGAGGTCTATCATACCTAACTTTTCTAATGTTCTATTCACCTCCTTAACTTCTTTCTTGTTTATTTTGTGGTTAGATTTATCTAGTGCAGAGAGGGGGAGGTTCAGGTCCCCCACGGTATAGTTTTGCTGTCTATTTCTTCCTGTAACTCCCTGAACTTCTCCTAAGAATTTGGATGCTATACCATTTGGTGCATATATGTTTAGTAATGATATTACTTTATTGTCTATGGTGCCTTTTAGCAGGATGTAGTTTCCTTCCTTATCTCTTTTGATTAGATCTATTTTTGCTTTTGCTTTGTCTGAGATCAGGATTGCTACCCCTGCTTTTTTTACTTCAGCTGAAGCATAATATATTCTGCTCCAGCCTTTTACCTTTACCCTGTATGTGTCACTCTTTTTCAAATGTGTTTCCTGTAAACAACATATTGTAGGATTATGGTTTTTAATCCATTCTGCAATCCGTTTCCATTTTATGGGAGAGTTCATCCCATTCACATTCACAGTTATGATTACTATCTGTGTCTTTTTCTCCATCCTTTCCCCCTTTTGCTTTTCTTTCTCCTTTTCCTTTCCCCCTTCACTAGTGTTTTGCTTTTGACCACTGCCTCCTTCAGTCCCTCCTCCCTTTATTATCCCTTTCCCTTTTCTTCCCTTTTCTTACTGCTTCTTCCCTCCCTTCTATCGCCCCTCCCTTTTCTTTCCCCTTTTCCCTCCTACTGCCTATAGGGCAAGTTAGATTTCTATACCTAACTGATTATGTTATGCCCTTCTTGAGCCAAATCTGATGAGAGTAAGGTTCAAACAATGCTCACCCCCTCCCTTCTTTCCCTCTGCTGTAACAGGATTTTTGTCTTTTCCTGTAATGTAATTTACCCTTGTCTGCCTCCTCCTTTCTCAGTACATTTTCTAAGATCAGATTGATCCACTTATTTGGATCCATTTAACCCACTTGATTAGATTTTTTTCATTACATCAAAGTCAACTAATATCCACCCTCTTTATGTATACTCCTTTAACATGGTGTAATAACAATACAGTTCTCAAGGTTGCAAGTGTCATATTCCCTTGTAGGGGTAAACAGCCCCCTTATTAACAACATATTGTATCTTTCTGTCCCATTTACCTTTTTATGTCTTCTTGAGTCCTGTACTTGAAGATCAAATTTTTTGTTGAGCTCTGGTCTTTTTATCAGGAAAGTTTGGAAGTCTCCTATTTTTGAATATCCATCTCTCTCCCTTGAAAAATGATGCTCATTTTTGCTGGGTAATTGATCCTTGGCTGCATTCCAAGCTCCTTTGCCTTATGGAATATCATGTTCCACATCCTGTGGTCTTTTAATGTAGAAGCTGCAAGGTCCTGTGTAATCCTGACTGTGGTTCCATGATATTTAAATTGTTTCTTTCTGGCTGCTTGCAGCACCTTCTCTTTCATCTGGTAATTTTGGAATTTTGCTATTATATTCCTTGGTGTTGTCAATTTGGGATCTCTTTCAGGTGGTGATCGGTGGATTCTTTCTATGGTTATTTTCCCTTCTGGTTCTAGGACTTCTGGGCAGTTTTCCTTTATGATTTCCTGAAAGATACTGTCCAGGCTCTTTTTTTCATCATGATTTTCAGGTAGTCCAATAATTTTTAAATTGTCTCTCCTGATCGATTTTCCAGGTCGTTGTTTTACTGATGAGGTATTTTATTTTTCATCTATTTTTTCATTTTTTGTTTCTGTTTGACTGATTCTTGCTCTCTCATAGAGACATTAGTTTCCATTTGTCCAATTCTAGTTTTTAACAGATTGTTTTCTTCTGTTAGTTTTTGTACTTCCTTCTTCAATTGGCCAATTGTGTTTTTTAGGGACTTGTTTTTTCAGTGTATTTTTTTCCAATTGGCCAATTGTATTTTTAAGGACTCTTCTACCTCTCTCATTTGACTATTAAAATCCTTCTTGAGCTCTTCTAAGAAGGCTTTTTGGGCTTCAGACCAGTTCATATTCCCTTTTGTTGTTGCAGATGTGGGTTTGTTGACAATGTTGTCCTCTTCAGAATTTCTGTCTTGATCTTCACTCTTCTCATAATATGAATCTATGGTACGTTTCTTTTTATTCATGGTGTTTCTTTATTACCCCGTAAACAGACTGAGCTCTCCTGCTCGGGAGAAGAGGGCACTGACCCAAGCTTCTTGTGTTGGGAGCCTAGGTCTTGGTCACTGGCTTTGTGTGCTGGGGCCTCCGATGTTGGCAATTGGAGGCTGTAGGGTTCTGGCAGCTTATGTGGTGTTGGGCTAGAATCAGCAAGGCTGGAACTTTTGGGTAATTCTAGGTTGCCTGCTTTTCCTTTCCTTTAGCTTTGTTCAGCTGCTTTTAGATGGATGTTGCAGGGTGTTTGTCTGCCTGGGGCCCTTTGTAGTGCTGCTTCTGTTAGTTTTGCACTGGGAGATCCATTTGCTGCAGAATGCTGGGGCAACCTGGTGGTTTTCTGAGCTGGTTTCCACCGGTTCCCACACCCTCACTGAGGCACTCAGGGGTCCCAGGTGTTGATGTTTGCCTGTTCCACCACCTGGGCTTCAGGATCTCCTCCTGGTTGGCAATTGGAGGCTGTGGGGTTCTGGCAGCTTACATAGTGTTGGGCTGAAATCAGCAAGGCTGGAACTTTAGGGCAACTCTAGGTTGCTTTCTTCAGCTCCTTTCAGATGAATGCTGCAGGGTGTTTATCCTCCTGGGGCCCTTTGTAGTTCTGCTTCCCTTATTTTTGCTGAGGCACTGGGAGACCTGGAATGCTGAGCACCAGGATCTCCTCCTGGTGTGCTAAAGTGTGGCTTTCTGCCAGCTGGCCGGGTTGCACCCCATTCCGTAGTGCTCCCCTTCCTCCAGGGTAACAGGGGCCTTTCCTGTTAATCCCTCAAGCTACCTCGGCTATTGTACTGCTGCTCTCCATTTTTCTTCTGGTTAGCTGTTGCAGGGTTTTTTTTTCCTGGGGTGGTAGTTTCTGGGCTTTCAGAGATTGATAGGGGAGAGTGAGAGTGACCTTTTTACTCCACCATCTTTGAGGTGTCCTTGTTATTGTAGCCTGTATCCAAGGGGACCTGTCCCGAGGGGACATAGTGCCCCTTTCCCCTTACGAGCTCTTCTCTGTTTCTGCACACAGAGAGTTCCTTTGGAACTTGTCATTGCCCTGAGATATCACTCAGGGCTAAGTCAGCCCCAGTGTGGTTTGGGACTTTGTCCTGGTAATGCTGACAGTGGGTTGTCTGGGCTTTGGTTGAGTAGAAGGTCATGGAGGCTGCTCAGAGGCTGGGCACGCAGAGACTGCCTGCAAGGGGCAGCTCTCTAGGAGCGCTCCCATGTGCCATGACTGTTGTGGTGTGAGTCAGGCCCTGCGGCATGGCCACTCTTGCATGAGGGCCTGTGTGTGCTGGCTCTGAGCCAGGAGGAGTAAGGAGGCATCCAAGGGAAGAGAATGCTTTCTGGCTGTGCTCATCACCCCAGTTAGCTGGTGCAGTGGTTGCACTCACACTGAGCTCCAGAGGAGAGGCTGGGTCAGAGGGTATTGGGAGTCATGCCCTGAACTAGACACAGTGCGGTCAGATTTGTGCAGCAGGGGAGAAGATCTAAGGCAAGAGAATAGTGCCGAGGGGTGAGGCTGATGGATGTGAACATTGCACAGTGTGGGATGGGGAGGGATGGGTCAGGGCATGGCAGGTCATGACCGTGCTGATGTGTGTGCATGGTGTGGTGGTCAGTCAATCGCTATTTTGTGGAACCTTCTAGCCTCCCCAGGAAGTCTTGTGTGGTATTTGTGCCTCCTCCCCTTACTCTGTATTGTGGGCCCAGGATAAGGATGAGGACAAGGTAGGCCTGGCAGGTGAGGTGATGCAGTTTATTACAAGGTGGATCCCTGCACGGAGTTATACCCTGCACATTTTGAGCCTAGAGAGGCCCTGGGAGCTTCAGGCAGTCCTGGGTTGTTGCATGCTGAGCTAGGTGCATGTGGAAGCAGAAGCCATGGTGGGGGTCACCATAGGAGGAGATGCATGGGAGACCCTGGCTGCACCTGGGGTGGGTGAAGTGCTCAGGAGTAGCTTGGTAACCTGAATGCCTCTGGAGATGTTGCTGCCCAGGTGTTCAGGCTGATGTTTGAGGCTGGAGCCAGGAGGCTGACAGAAGTTGGGGAGGGGGTGAGAGCAATAAGTGCCCTGTGGTCAGCAGCAGGATTTTTGGCCACAGGTGGCAGTGCAGCAGGCGGCCTTGCAGCAGGTGGGCCGGCAGATGAGGGAGACAGAGGAGGCAGGGCGGCAGCTGGTGGAGGTTGGACAGCAGGAGGGGGCGCAGCAGCAAGAGTAGGAGGATGTAGTGGTGCAGCAGGAGGGCCTGCAGGAGAGAGGCACACAGCAGGCAGCTGGGCTGCACACGGGCCTGCAGATGAGGGACACAGAGGAGGCAGGGTGGCAGCAGCTAGGCTGGCAGCAGGAGGAGGCTGGACAACAGGCTGTGGTCACACAGCATCTGGGCTTGCAGCACACAGGCAGGGCGATGCAGCAGCTGGGCTTGCAGCACAGAGGGACACAGTAGCAGGACTGCACTGAGCAGGGGGAGACAGAGCAGCTAGGGTCTTGGCAGCAGGACTGCTGGCAACCTGATGGTGAGCAGGAGGAGGTGCAGACAGACTGGCAGGGGCTGGGTTCACAGGCTGTCTGGCAGGTGGCGGGCACACAGCAGACTGGGCGGCACAGCAGGGTCAGGCAGGAGGTTGGCGTGCAGCAGGGGTTTGGGCAGCAGGAGGGGCCACAGCAGCTGGGTTCACAACAGCTCTCGGGGCAGTCGTCCAGCTGCCAGGAGGAGCCTGTGCACGAACCGGGCAGGCAGACGTTGCTGTCACAGCTCACGTCACTGGAGCAGACGGAGACAGCTGAGGACATGGGACCACAGGGCCCAGAAAAGCAGGTTTCTGCCATGGTGGAGCAGCTGTGTTGGGTGCCTGGGGCAGCAAAGAGTGTGAGAGGGGTGTCAGTGAGGGGCTGAGTGCCTGGTGCAGGGAGTACTTGAGCCTCACTGGGATTGTGCTTGTGGGTGTGGGTCTGTGTGAGTGTGTGTGTGTGTGTGTGAGTGTAGCTGTGGGGCTGTGTGTGAAGGTGGTGTATCCTGGTGGGCTTTTATATCCCTGCTTCAGGAGGATGTCCCAAGGGGAGATTGAGCCTTCTTCCTTGTTGTTGTTTATGGCTGGCTGCTTCCCTTAGAGCCCATCATTAGGTGATGGTGACATTGTCCAGGGGACAGCCAGCGATCCATAAACATATCTAAAGTGTGCTTTTGCTTGTGTGTGTGTGTGTGCGCGTGTGTGTGTGTGTGTGTGTGTGTTGGTGAGCGCATATGTGCATGCATGTGCTTGTGCTTTGAGGTGGTGGTGCCCTGCCTTGGGTTTTGTTGGGTACCTGCTGCCAGCGTTGATGTTGAAAATAGGTCAGTGGGTTTGGCTACTATTAAGAGGAAGGAAGGCCAGTCAGCAATGAACACTATGGTCCTGCTGTCTAGTCCTGGGAGTTCTGGTTTCTGAATGCGGTTCTTTGTTGTAGAGTCTATTACTTGTAAACTTAGGCCCCATCCTTAAGTGTGAGTACTGACTTTAGGGAGCAAAATTGATTGACCGAAGGAGGAGATCAGGATATCTAAGGATCATGGTTCCCTCGGCCTGTAATATGGACATTCTGGCTCCTCTGTCTCTGGGCTAGTCCTGCTCTGTCTGCCCTTCAGTGTCCATGGGATTTCTCTCTTCTTTTGGGGACCCAGTAACTATTACCTCAGTTCCACTAACCACTTAACATTAATTGCCTTTTAAAAAGCAGTATTTGCTTTAATGCTGTGGCAAGAAGAAGCATCCAGACATTCTCCCACCCCCAGGGTATAGGCCCCCCCCCCCACTGTGATCCCATCCGTAGGAAGCATGGCTGCTGAATGGATCCTCCCACTGTGCTGGGGTCCTAAAGGTCCCTCCCAAAGACTGAGGCTCGGAGCCTGGGTACTGGACCAACTGGTTCCAACAGCTAGCCTGGATTCCAGCCTCAGAATTCCTCTATCTTGTGTTTTGACCTAGATTGAGACTCTGTTCTCAGGTGCTAGAACAGAACAGAGAGAGTGAAGAGTCTCAGGAGGCCTCACTTCTCAGGGGCCGTGTAGTCTTGGCGTAGGAAGGGGAGAGGTCCCACTGCCCTTCATCTATGGTCCCCTCATCAGATGCTTTCGTACCACCAGAGCTTAGCTAAAGGCAAGGAAACAGAGAACAAATCATCCATGTGGAATGGCCGTTTTGAACGCCTCCCAAACTCATCCAAGATCCTCCCCTTCACTATGTGGCTTCTCCCACCATCCCCACCTATGGGGTAGTCACACAGGTTCTAGTGTCCCCAAGGCACAGCCCTTCCCAATCATCACCATTCTCCTGGACTCCTCCATGTGGGGGGACGCCTGCTCCAGTGGTCTTGCCCTGGCCCAGACATCCCACTACAGGGATCGATAGGCAAGCATGGACAAGAGACTGGGTCTTTAGGTAACAGTGCAGAAAATAAGGTCTGTTTTGGACGTAAGATGTCTGTCGGTACGCAGTTTGAATTATTAGATTTGAAGGTGATGAGGTAGAACTGATGATGGGGGAGATCTTGGGATCTGATTTGTGGATTTGGAAGTTGTTTCCATGGAGATGATGGCCAAGCCACTAGAACCGGTGAAGTTACCACTACAGAGGATGGAGAGAGAATAGTCGAAGATGTGAAACTGAGCCTTGGGGAGCACGATATGGATGACAAACCAGCAGAGGAGATGAAGGAGAACTAGTCAGCTAGCAGGAGGTGAAGTAGAGGACAAGAGTTCCAAAAAACTCAGGGAAAAGAAGATGTCCAGGAGGAGAGAGTGGTCAGCAGTTTCCAATGCTACAGAGCAACAGAGAAGGATGGACACTGAAAAAATATAACCTGATTGGTCGGGGGTGGGGCAGGTTCAGGTCAGTGATGTTAGAGCTAGATTGTAAGGGTTAAGGAATGAGGAAGAGACTATAAAGTGGCCGTGAGGGTAAGAGACTTTTCCTAGGAGTTTGAGGCAGACTGGAGGATGATTGAGGGGATGGTTCTGAAGGTGGGGGGAGGATTGAGCATGCTTCAAGGCAGAAAGTAGAGGGGAGAGCCAGGGGACTGCTGGTGGAGGCGATGTGCTAGAGAAAACAGGAGGTGACAGGATCTCAGCGATATGTACTGGAGCTGCTCAGTGTCAGAGACCGGACCACATCGGACCGAAGGTTTTAGAAGTGAAAGGAGTGGAAGAAGAGCAGACTCCCAGCAAACGGCCTCAGCATCTGACAAGAGAAGGTCCTCGCCTGACAGAGGTGGCAAAGAGGAGTTGCAGGAGGCTGCAGGGAAAAAGGGGGCTGTTGGCAAGAGAAAGGCTTCTCATGGCTTGGCTTAAGCAGAGCTGGAGGATAAAAATGGGGTGGAATAAAAGACAGCAGAGGCACATCTCCTCTCCCTAACCCTAAACACACTAAGAACCAGGAGGTAGACTAGAACAAAATCCCAGGGGGGCCAGTTCATCTCCTTGAGCTCCAGGCCTTGAGGAGGGACGTGAGGGAACCTTTGGACATTCCTTCCTCTCCTCTGCCCTGCAATCCAGCCAAACCTCTATTCCTAACATGCAGCACTCCATCTCTCACCTTTGTGCCTTTGAACTGGCCGGCCCTCATGCCTGGGATGCCCTCCCCCCTTCCTTTGCCTCCTGAGGTCTCCTTTTTCTTTAAGATGAACCACAGGCCCATCTTCTGCATGAAACCTTTCCTGATCCCCCAGCTGTGGTGTTCTCTCCCAAACTCCCTTGATAATATATGTATTTATCCTCTTTATCTTATACTGAATATGTTTCTCTATGTTCTTCTTGTCACCCCATTAGGATGAATTAATAAAGTGAGTTGGGATACAAAGAGAAAAGCCAGACAGTCCCTGCCCCACATGAGCTCCCATTCGGGTGGGGGAGACAACCCCCAGGGAAGGTTTCAGCTGCTGGTCAGTAGGCAAGGTCCCAGGGTCTGCAGGGGGAAGCCTCAGAGCAGATGGCCAGGCCTCTTCTTTAATGTTGATTCCACTGATGGAATGTGATCACTTCTGATGTTGTCCAATTTCAGCCCAGGACTCTGGTGACAAGGACTTTCCCTTCTGGGTCTTCGTCACTGCAGCCGCGGAGGGGCTGTCAGTCCCCTGGCTGCAGCTCCCCAAGAGCCACCTCCCAGGAGCATGCTGGGGACTCTGGACTGGAAGCCCTGCTCTTCCCAAGGCTCTTGGGCCTGGGGGCCTGGGTTGTCTCCATTAAGGTCTGAGGAGAGACAGTGGTGAAGGCAGTGGCGCTGGCCTGATCCACCAGTCCCATGTTGCCTTCTATCTCTCCTCCACCATGCCTTGGTTTCAGCTTGGCTAGCTCCAGGTGTTGGACAGGAGGGCTGGTCTGGAAGCAGATCCGCTGGCATGGTGGCTGCTTGTCCTCCTGGGGTCTTGCTTCTCATGAGTAAAGTTTTGTCTTCATGTTCCTAGTGCCTGGCACATGGATGCTTTACAAAAGAGCTTTGATTGATTCATCGACTATGTATTCCCATAACAGATTTATGGGAGACACCTTTTCTCAGGGAATCCCTCTTCTATTAGCGACAGTTACAGCCAGAGAGAGTCCATTGACTGCCTGAGTTTGGGGTACCAGCCAGGCCTGGGGCAGAACTATCCTGCCCTCAAGGCTCTCCCGATCTGATGGCAAACACCAACCTGAAGACAGCTAGGTGTAGATAGGACTGCGCAGAGTAGATGGAAGGTGGTGGGGAGATTCTTTGGCCCATCTGCAGCCTTCATTTTCATCATTACCCCTCTGGCTCACTGCTCTCTGCCACTTCTCCAGTCTGCCCCTCAGTCTCCCTTTGCATGCCTTTGTCCCGGGCCCTGCCTTCTCTCTCTCTCCACTGTCTGGGGGATCTCTGCAGTTTCCATGGGCTCAGATGGGTGACCCGCACATCCACTCCAGTCCCTCTCCTGAGCCACAGTCATGCACTGCCCACAGCCCACTGGACACCTCGAGCCAATATGCCCGTGAGTATTCCCCACTCAAAATGTCCACGTTGAAAAAAGAAGTCATTATCTTTGCCCCAAGCCGTCCCTCCCCACTTCGCTGTTATCTTGGGCACAGCCATCCTTCCGGCCACCCAGACTTGAAGCCCGGCTGGCATCCTCAGTACCTCAGTCTGACTCCCCACATGCCCAGTCTAGTGAAAAAATCTGGTGATTCTGTCTTTCACACAGCCCTTTAGACCAGAGCCACTTGTTGTAACAGCTTCCTCATGTCTCCCTGCTCCAGGCTACTGGCCTCTCAGTTACCAAAGGGATTTTCCTGAAGCAGAGGTTGGACCACATCACTCCCCTATTCAGGAAACTCCAGGGGCCACTTGTTACCTCCCAGATCAACTAGAAATCCCTGGTTGGCGTTGAAAGTCCTTCACAGTCTGGCCCCTCCCTCCCTCCCCATCTTCCACAGGCCCTCCTCAGCACAATGGTACTCATCTGGAAGGCTCCTCTAGGCAGTGCTCCCTCTCTCGTCTTTGGCTTTGCTCTGGTTGTGTGCCGCCCCTCCCTCCACCTGGGAACCCTCTCTGCTCACCTCCGCCTTTTAGTTTGTCCGGCTTCCTGTGAGACTGGCTCAAGTCCCGCCTTCTGAAGGTGACCTTTCCTGTCCCCCATCCCCCACCCCCCTGCTAGTGCCTTCTCTGAGATCACTTTCTTTTTTTTTTTTTAATATAATTTTTTTTTATATTATAAATTTATTTAGTTTACAACATTGTTTTCAACATTCCCTTCCACAAGTTTTTGAGTTCCAAATTTTCACCCCATCTCCCCCTCCCCCCACCCAAGATGTCATGCATTCTGAATATCCCTTCCCCTAC